TGATCAATTCTATCAAAACATTTATTTTTAAATAATTCTATTCGTATTTAAGTCATTAAACAATAATACAAATAAGAATCAAAATTATGTAACATTTTTCCGTGTTTTATATTCATTCTAAATCTTTTCATATGCTTTTTCCAATTATCATAATAATTGCAATTAAAATTATTCTTAAACTTCAAAATGAAATACCTATATAATAAGTATGGAAATGTGAATTTTATTTTAATACATTTTTTTTAAATATTATATTTTAGTGTAGCATTTTATTTAAAACGGGTTGGACAATATATATCAATAAATAAGTTGAAACATAACCAGTTACAGTTTTCTGATGGCTATAACTCTGGTATCGCTAATATTTTTTAATTATTCTAATAAACAGTGATTGGTTTAATATTTTACTTTTTGATTCAATGCGTAATTTAATGATTTATTAGTGGTTAGCTTGTACGTTAAGCTTTATTATCAATGTTATTTTATCTGTATTCGCATTAATATAAAACGTATAATAATCAAAGTGGTAATATATCACTGCACCAAAAATTAGAAGAGGCAATTTATCGATATTTGCTACATTCGATTTTTTTTACAGTGCAAAATTTAACTACTGATTACTATAGATATTGTTCGATTATTATAAAATATGATTTAGAAAATTATATTGTAGAACTTAAAATGCATTATTGTAACCAATGAACACGAAACAAGAACTATTAGTGAAAATTATAGTATTAAAAAACACTGAAGTTTTGTACTGAAGTTAAAAAAAAAAATAGTACTTTTTCCCTACAATATATTTATAATTATAAGTATTGAATGTACAACGATGAAATAATTCAAACCGTTTATTTAGCTCTGTCGCACAACCTTGACAGGCACAAGTCTCTTAACTATCACAATATTTAACATTTCAAAGAAAATATATCTATTTTATAATAGTAGACATAAAAGGTTAAAGTAATGCCTAAACCTTAATAGTATATTAATGACATTTATAAACATCGATAGCCCAGAGCAAATATCGATTTTATACAATAACGATCAATAATGTCGATAATGCTACCGATGATTTCTCATGCCTACCACAAAGCAAAAATGCCTTATATCTTGTAAAGGAATGGGTAATCCATAAACAATAATATCTTCTAATTACTTTGAATGAACATGGCATTTGCAGGTGTACCGAAACACTTACATGGGACCTCAATGGTGTTCTTGAATTGTTTTATATATTTTTTGAAATATTAAACGATGCCATTTTCAGATAACCGTTTATTTAACTCTAGTATTAAATACGATTTCGTATTTTAAAAACTGGATTAACTTTTTAAACGACACTTGTTGTTTAAGCATACACATTGTATATTAATTATAATTAATATACAGTATTTATCTTTGTATTAATAATTACTACGGATTATTTATTCGACCATACGAGTAATTTTATTCACATACAAAACACAACACAATATACTTTATTAAATTACTGTTGAGTATAATTATTAAAACTTCTTTTTGCTCGAAAACCGTAACCGTAACCGTATCACCTATCTCGTATATAATTTATGATATATGAATTAAATGTTCTATCGTATAGTCAAGTACTTTTAATAAATTTGAAATCTCAAGGAAAACGTAAGGATGATTATTTTTTTTCCGTAGTGACATAATTAACAAAATTAATATGTTAATTATCAGGTATATGTACACTTAAATAAATAATAAAGTAGGTATGATATCAAACTTAGTAAATTACATGTTTTTTTTTTATATTTTAATATTATTACAACATAAGCGTTAGTAGTGCACAAAGTAGTTAAAAGGAGAGAGAAAAAAATCGATACGAAGACCGAATCAACAGTATTAATGTAATGACTGTATAGTTATTGAAATTTTATAAATCAAATGAAGGCGTTACATGTTTTATCGAATGTGCTTCCATCGAGCGGATTTTCATATTATTATTATGTGCACCGCTGTAACTGATTAATTAGACAATAGTCCAATGTTATGATTAGTGTCTCCAGATTTTTCCTACCGTTCGTCTTATTGGATATGTGCTGTCAATATTAGTACTAACTGATGATAATATTCATTTTGAACGTGTCAAGACCAGAATAATTATTTTAGAAGAGAACAATAATTATTATTATTTGTATTGCTTTTGGACGTGGGCCATGCTGCGTCCAATACAAAGGTATTTGACATAGTATACGTACATTTGCCTTCCTATAAATATAGGTTCAGGGTGAGAGGTTTTATTTTTATAAAATACAGTCATGAAAATCAAATATTAGTATACGCGTGTATTATTTTTCCATACTTTTAATCGTTGATAAAATTTAAGTCTTAACATTTTTCATTTAAGGGTGGTTCGAAGAACAGCGTTTTTTTTTTCTCAAAGATTCTCAAAAGTCGCACCATTACAAGGACTTGCATTTAAACCGTTCTGCTAATAGAGAGGGGTTAAATATTTCTTATAGATCCGCAGCTATCGTGCACGCAGGTGAACGGTATAACTGGAGAGAGAAAATCATACTACACGAATATTGGCAGACGTGAAAATTAAAAACTAAAAACTAATTATAAAATTAAAACAATCAATGCATTCGATGAGATGTGTGTATGTTTTTTTTCATACAAAAATGATATTATTACATATAAATTATTATCATATTACTAGTCTTATTAAACGTGTTGAACAATATCGTTTAACATCTTACTCTCAAGCGAAGTAGTTTCTCAGTCAATTCACGAATAATTTTGAGGTAAAATTCTGTGCATACAATATGTTTTTTGAAAAAAATCTATGAGGTTCATAAAGGTTTCATATTCGAGTAAATTCGATTTATTTGTTTGGACTAATTTTTACGTGGTATTCGATATGGATTCCTAATAGTTTACATGTTACATTTGATTAAATATGAAAACGATTCTTGGATATGTAGAATAAGTAATCCCGATCTCTTCCTCATCATCTTGGAAACTAATAATTCGTCGTCTCGGCAAGTGAACGAAATTGTATTTCGCCTTAAATATGCAGTCTCCGTTAATTCATTTTTTGCTCATCTTCATCGTATTAATTTAATTTTCATTTCTCTATTTGAATTTTTAATGTATCACAGTAACACATTATATCTCTTGTTTATGTATTTACATATTTATTTTATATTTTTAACAGTGTTACACGTTTACGTGATAGTAAAATTTGTTGTTATTGTATCGGTCGAAAAGGTAAAATGTTGAACTTTTTATTGCGAATGCAGATACTGAACTTCGTTCTGCCTGAAGAATTAATTTCTGATTCACAATGCAGGACATAAAAATATTGATTGACATTCAAAGTTCATTTGACAAGATTAAAATATTGATCAATGTTTTACGTTAAATCTAATGTGCGTTTATTACTTTCAACTATCATTCGTTGTCAGACTGTTTGAATCCTACTGTAATCGGTAACATAGTTTTAACTATAGTAGCGTTCACAGTGATCAGCCAATTAGTTTCTTATTTCAAATGACGTACTGACCATAAGCGTTGCATGTTTTTTTATGAAATTGATTTGAAAATATTTAAAACAAAATAAATAATTAATACTAACGAAATGCAATGAAAGTTTTTAAAAAATATTTTTCAATCGACCAAACGTAGATTGATTCACAAAGAAGTCATCTCTTGTAAGGGTCCATAAAATATAAAAAAAAAAAATGTCTGTTTATTAACTCGCAGTATAAGATATCATGCTTATCGTTGCCCAACAAATTTGCATCGCTGTCAGTCTCCCAGAAGAACCACTGGCAATACGAGATTAAAACGTTTTGAACAATAATATTCAAATAGAATCGCATTATTTCATTTTTCAACGTTGTCATTTGAAATGCAGTTTTTCGCAATTTTCGACTTTTTTTTCAATTTTGTCGCAATTTCGTTGATTTTACTCATTAACAAAAACAATTTTAACTATTTCCTACATTTTTTCACTTAATTTCACTTTTTTTAAACTTTTTAAATGATTTTATCAAAAAATTTAATGAAATAAAATCGTCAAATTATTGTAAGCTTGAGGCACACGATGAATTTATGTATATTGTTTATATATCTTATTGTCTATTGATATTACTGTATGTGTAGTCAAAACGATAGTAGTGTATTTATTTTTAAAATCGTATCGGTTTCGTCGTATTTAGAATGCGCACAGATAACATTGTATATTTAACACAAAAAAAAAAAAAAAAAAATTACCGTATTTGAAATCATAAGTATAACAAATGATTTGCTGACTGGAGTATGAAAAACTGTTGGATGGACTTGACGGTAAGCGATTTAGTTTATTTTGAGTACGCTCCGCTCGCATCAACTGAAGACGTTTTTCGAAGTACGAAAACTTACTGGTTCCAAATCGGAGATTTTGAAAATTTAAAAAAAATTACTTTCGGTTCAACGCAACAACATTTATTCGAGTAGGTCGGTACATATTTTTTTTACATTTCCACTGAAACATGTTTATAACCAATCAGTCGGTTATGTACAACACAAAAATCACGATAAGTTAACGACGGATGAGATCAACGAAGTTTTATGGATCCGTTACAACGAAACGTTATTTATTATTTTATTTTTTTTTTTTTTTTTACCGCGATCTTCGGTGCATTATACTGCCGATCGGTCTTAACAATTTTTTCACCGCTACGACATCGGTGCCCTATGATTGTTACACCGTCCGGTTGTCGTAAAACGGTCGATACCGGCGCCGTCCGACAACGGTACGCACAAGGTAACAATAGTGTTTGGTGCGGTGCGCGACGTGATGGTAACGGATAACGATAAGGGCACCACGCGTAGGGGCGGGCTGGGTGCGAAGCGGGGCGGGTATAGCGACGGCGTCGAGAACGTTCGGGCGATCGTCGCGGGCCAAACGCCAATGGGGTGACGAAACCGCGCGGGTGGCCGCCACGAGGGGGCCGCGACGACGGCCGCGAGACGACGGCGGCGACGCTGAAACGTTCGGCGCACACGCGTACACGTGCTCGTCCAGTGCTCGACCCGGTGGCGCGCCCGTTGCATCCGTGTCGCCCGCTCGTCTCGTCTCGTCCGTGCCGATTAGCGAAACGCGCGGTCCGACAGATCGTCCGAACGGCGTCAACGGTCGCACCAGATCCCCGTCGGTCCGAACCGCGACCACGGTCGCGTCCAGACCCTCCGTTCGCCGACAGTCGAGCCCGATACGGCCCGAACTGACCTACGCGGTTCCGACCCACGTTCGCCAACGACCGTCGTAGACGTCCGCGCCGTACTACCGGAAACAATCGCGTCCGCGTATCCCGCGCAACCGACCTGAGGTGAGTTTTTCTCCTTGGTAGATCTGTTTCGATTGTTTTGTTTTATTTCCCCCCCCCCCCGCCCATTGCTTTCGTTTTCCGTCCGGAGATCGATTTTTTTTTTTTTTTTGAAACGCGTGTTCCCTTCAAGGGAGCAGGGTGTGCACTCGCCTACACTGAATTTTTTTCATCTTTAATCATCGGACTAGGCGTCACCGGTACATGGTCTTGCCACTTTGGCATTCGGTTTTCCAATCTTTAATGTTGCGCATGCACCGCGGCTGATCAGTAATCACTGCTAATCATAAATGTTGGCCTGGCGGTGGGAAAATATTGGCATTTTTAATTTTGCTTGCACACCCTTTAAAAAAAAAAAAAAAAAACTGAAATGGCGTCCCTGGTTTTCTTAACGCGGCCGTCGTAGCCGCAGCGATTGCACCGCGCGGTGTTTTACGATCCGTCGCCGCGCACCCGGCTAATACGACGATATATTGTGCTGTTTCGATTCTCGCGCTGGTCCGTGCGAGATGATTGAATTCAGTGTTTCTTTCGAATCAAAACAATAATACGTTTCGTTTAAATAATACGAATTATTAACCGTAGGACCATAAAGCAGTTGCAACAATAAAATCGTAGTAGTGTTGCACAATTGCATTGAAAAAATGTGGATTATATTACATAGGAGTGCCCATATTATATTGTCAAGTTAATGTGAAATTATTCATATAAAATTCTATAGTACCTATGAGGCTCGATGAACTCGAACTGATAGAAAAATCGTTATAAACATTCAACGCAAAAAATGAAGAGATGTAAAAAATCGTTTTTGGTTCAAATCATATTTTACTTTGGTGTTCAAGAATTCACTAGAATCATTATTTTTCATCATCACATTCAGCTATTTACTGAACTATAACAAACGAAATAGATTTCTCTGTGGTTCATGTGGTCTAATCAGTAATACATTTATGTTTTTACGATATCAAACAACGTATGATCGTAGGCCAATAATTGTATGCGACTACTATTTTATACTATGTACGAATATAAAAAACTTGAATAATTGTGAATATAAAAACAATTAATACCATGTTAACTATAATTAAAAACTCCGATGCATGTACGTTATTGATTCAAAAATAAATAAACATTTATATTGAAAAAGTGAAAATGTTTCAATATAACGTAGGCATTTTTAACCTTTCGTTATTGGCTCGAGGTATATTGTTACTTATTTAAGCGCGTGGTCTACATTTGTAGACCATTTTAATTTATGAGAAATTAAATTCATTTTAATTATTTTTGTTTATAATAAAAATTTTAAGTATTTATATTCATAGAATGAATCGTATGAGCATTGAAATATTAAAAGTAATCCATAAATTTATTTATGAAGAAAATACAATTACCGTATTAATAGTGAAATTATGATAATTTCATTCATGACATTTTATTTTTAAAACTAGTTAGTTACTCAGTTACCTTCCAATCGGCCTGAAACTATAAATATCTGAAATTAACGTGTTTACAAAAGACCCGAAACAATATTAAAATGTATTTTTATATTTTTTTACCAGTTATAGTCGAATAAATTTAGGTATTATAACGGTAATTTCTTTATAGGAAATGATGTTGTATATGAGTTTTGGTGCTTATTTTACTTAGTAATCATTTCCTCTTTTAAATTAAATTCCACAATATTGATATGAAGTATAATTAACGGATTTTATAGTTTACATGAAACAAAATATCATGACCCAATAGGTATATTAATAATAATAACATATTATACAACTTTATCCATTTAAAAAAGAAAATTTGGATTTTGCAAATTTATAAAAAAATATAACATAGTGAGTCGCGGGGCCTACAGTTTTAGACCACTCGGAATATTGTTGATATGTTTCGTTACACAACGCTCATCAACGGTCACGATAATACTGATTACACAATAGTATATATAAACAGCTACTATAAAGTACAAGGCATTACAATTTTTTATAAATACTAAAATTGTCAATATTTATAGCTGGTCTACAATTGTAGACCACGCGCCTAACAAAGGTTTAATTATACGGATTTATAACAGTTTAATACAAGAATTCCTAGTATCAAATATTCTACTTTGTTTAAAACTAATATTAAACTTAAAACAATTTCGGATATTCTTATATAATTTTTTTATGAATTATTATTAAAATCACAAAAATAATTAATTTGTCCAAGAGTACATACATATTTGTCAATTTTGAGTATTTAATTAATGCACTTTTCTTTTACCATGTTTATAATTAAATTAATTACAAATGTTGCAATGTATGCAAGGCCGTATTTAGGGGGGGGGGCACTGTCTACAAATGCCCCGGGCGCCAGTTTTTTAGGGGTGCCAAAATTTTGCGGTCGAAAATTTGCTCACTTGAGAATTATTGAACTTTTAAAATTATTTTGAAATTATTATTTTTTTTTTGTTTTTTATAACAGTATCATAAATTAATGTTAATGCATTTAATTTATTAATATATATTATTAATGTATTTATAGAAATATAGCTATTAGTGATCCAGAATATTATTAATATACCTAATATTAGTCCCCAAATTTGTTGTGATAATGTCAATAAGCATAAGTTATTTATAATAATACGGCGTATTATGTTATCGTGTGCGGCGTGCAGTGGCTTGCCTACTACACAAAAATAGCATTGATTTTAGAAAATCTAAAAGGTTCATAAGGATCTATCTCCTATATTTTCCGTGTGTAGGCCCCATAGAGGGACGTAAATTTTTTTTTGCGCCGGGGCGCAAAATGTCTAAATATGGCACTGAATTTATGCATTTTCAGAATATTAATTTTATCGATATAAATTAATTGACTTTAAGTATTTCTTGAATTTAAATTATTAAGTATTTTCATAGTAAATGAACACATTAATTACGATCCGCTTCTAGCAACTGAATCTCTGAAATTAAATAATTAACAGGACGGCAATTATCGCTATATAAACATCCGCACAATGCATTTGCATAATAATGTACGGCGTTCATTTAATATTAAATTTAAGTTTGTTGAGTCCCATGATCTACAAAAGCACAATTAATTTTGTCAATTATCAGACAACATTATGCATGTTGTTTAAACTGTCTATATTTCACCTTTTTTTTTTTTTTTTTTTTTTTTTTTTTTTTGTAACAACCATTATTTTGAAATATGTATAACATGTAAACTGAAAATTTAAAAACAAAAAAATAATTTTATTTGGTTTCTTTTTACATGCAGACCTGATAAATTTCTTTATTCGTTTTGAATAAGAATAATTCACAGATTGTGATGCTCAAAGTACTCGAAACTGGCGACTTTTAAATGTAATAAAGTTATGGCAACATAAAAACACAAGTTTTTCTTCTCTTTTATGTACAGCCATAACAATTCATTGAAGCATTGTGTTTTTTGTGCACAAACAATATCACTATAACTTTGGAAATATTATGAGATGAATTTGTACAATTGTGACCTTTTCAAACAAAAAGATTACGGTGGTAAGTCCGTAGGAGGAAAGAGTGGGGCTAACAGGTATCTTTATCGTACAAACAAAGTATTGTTGAAAAGTTAAACCACTCCAAATAAACTACAAAGTTCGACGTACACGAAAATCGGTACTGAAATTCATTTGACCCTACGAATTCGTATTTTTCTCTCGAATTATTTTATGTATAAAATATGGCTATTCTCAAAGTGTAAATACTCAGTACATTTATTACCTTGTATTATACGACAATGAATATGAATGTTATCATGACTCATGGAATTATATTTAAAAAAAAAGAAGCAAATTGCGTTTTGTATATATTAAATAATAAAAACGTATGATAATGTTACTTATCAAGTACAAATTATGGTATTATTTTTTAATATTAATTTTAAAGTACCATTGTAATCTCTACAAATACGTTCAGAGATAATACTATTCAAATTTTATAAATTATAATTAAAATGTTGTTACATGGATTTTATTTAAAAATATGAATTACCAGACCCTAATATTTTACCATAAATTTAACAAAAAATAATATTTTCTAAATATTATAATTTTGTTGTGGTATCGTTCGGTTAAGTCTTTCGGCACCAATTAACATTTATGAATTCACCTATACGAGTCACAACATAGTAAGATGAAGGAACAATATTAAATTATGATTTTTCGGATATTAACATTAATTTATTGAACACCATGAAAAATACTCAAGAATTACACAGTAGGTTTACTTATTGTTAATATAGGGGTTTATAACACTTACTTTATTTTTTTTTTTTTGTACATTTTACATGAGTATTTGCCAGCACATTATCTAGAATCCCAGAGTGAAAAAAATTAGATAATATTTAATTAAAATCTTAATATTATTTAAAAAAAAAAAAACCATCTTAAACTTCTAGTTAAATTGGTTTAAAGAAAATATTTGTTACGAGAACAGTTAGTTTTACAGTTTTTTCAGTTATCATTTGTAAAAAATATCGATAACTACGTATATAAATATTTTTTTAGTTATTTGTGTGAATTTTATACAAATTCATTGATAAATTATTTCATTCGAATAAAAGTTACAAATTATTTATTATCTTTTTAATAATTTATCAATATTTATAGAATAACATGTTTTACGTACAAATTGGTAGTTATTATTGGGACAGGAAAAAATTACCGAATAGTTATAAATTCCTAAAGTAAATAAAAACATTTTCAGTGGTACATATGTTGAAGTTAAACTTGAAAATAGCTTAAAACTCAACATAAATTTTTTTTTTTTTTATTTAATGCAACAGTCATAATTTTAAAAATTACAATATTTCCGAAACTTTTCTAATATTTTTACTTATTATGACTTGTCAAAAAGTTCGGCTCGTCCGTTATTTTTATTAGTATTACAATATTTTAAGGACTTAAAAAATATGCTGCCATGACAACAAATTAATTATTAAAATGTGTTTTAAATTTACTTAATATACGACTTCATAATAGGGAA